TTTGACCCAGTACACACGTCTTAGCTAGCAGGTTGGTGTTATAAGATGCATGTCCCAGGGGTAAGTAAGACCATTCACATCATATCTCCGAGAACGGCCCGCACAGGACCTTACAGTAGTGCTACAAACACTGGTCAGCAGGGAGAGTTGCCTGGTATGTTCAATATTGCTCTTTACCCTACAACCATGGTATTTTGTGTCTTCAGCTATATGAAGTACTTATGGTGGTCAAGCAAGAACACTGGCAATGACCTGTTTTGTTTAGGCTGGCAATGGGGCCACTCTGACCATTAATTAAGTCCTAGGCAGATAACCAGTACCAGATAAGAGCTTCATTAAATAGCCCTGGTCTGGGAACAGCATTAATTATGCATGTGGTAAACTTCTGTTCAAAGTTTTAAAAATAATGTTTACTATTAATTTGTAACATAGATGGGTTTCATAAGGCGTATTCACAAATCTTTACTTTTGGTTTGCACCCCCCCCCACTTCATCCAATCTCCCTGCTCCATCCCCAGTTAAACAGTCAGTGTACATTATCCAGTGCTCCATTCTTTTATACCACACATGTTCTACTATACTCTCTTGTTATATTTTTACTTGGGTTGTAAAATTTTACTTGGGTTCCCATGTAGCTTCTTCATAGACATCTGAGTTGATCTTTCAGCTGCCCCCTCTCTACTACATATTAAATGATTCCACCCCCAGGTTTCCCCTCTCTAATTTCAAATCACCTATATGCTACTATCTATCCTCTCTTCCTCTGTCTCACCAGTAATCAACTATTTCTACATTCCTGGCTTCCACAAGTACTCTTACTTGAACGCACAAAACAAAAATTGCACCTTAGAGACACATACATGAGAAAACATGTGATATTTAACTTTTGGGGCCTAGGTATGTGAATTCATCATAATTTCCAGGCACCTACATGTACACATAGCTTTCACACTTTCACTTTTATTTATACCTGAAGAGTGAATGTGAGTGTCACTTTTCCATTTACCCAATGGTTCAGTTCATTGGCACTAATGGGATTCCATTCCTAGATGCTGTCAAAGAGCATCTGTGATCATGATGGGAAGTGCTCATTGGTAACGGGGCAAGTCCTTAGAGTTGGTGCCCAGGAGTGGGTATTGTGTATCAGTTTCCTCTGAGAGTAAATCCTTCCATCTTGGAGGACTCACTTTAAAACACAGGGTATGAAAAGAGAGATAAAGGAATGAGAAGCTGTAAGGCAGTGGTTCTCAAGCCTCCTGACGTTGCAACCATTTAATGTGTTCCTCATGTTGTGGTGATTCCCATCCATAAAATTATTTTGTTACTTTATAGCAGTAATTTTACTACTGTGATGAATTGCAGATATCTCATGCAAGATACCTGTTATAAGATCCCCAAAGGGATCATGACACAAGGGTTGAGAGACACTGCTTTAAGGGGAGGTGATACATTTAGTCCTGCAGAGAAGCTCTTAAAACTCAGAAATAGCTTAATTGCTTCGTGATGTTGTGGGAACTGGCGAAACTCATTAGTGTGCTCCTACCTCAAGCATATATAATCGGTAAGGTCTGCTGACACTATTAGACATGCTGAACTGCACAAAAGATACTCAGACCAGCCTTTGGTAGACACCAATCTAGCTGCATGGACAGACAAGACAAGACAAGCTACCTGGAGGATGTGTTATTTGGCTTAAAAACACTTCCCACCTCCCTTGAGCTGCCTGCAAGCTGTGCAGTGATCCCCAGGTTTCCAGTTTCATTAGCCATCACCTTCACAGAGTGATGCAGCTGGCATTGAGTCCCTTGTGCTTCTATGAGTAACCCATCACCCACACTCTGTCCTCATTCATTCACATCAGTGATCATGTTTTCATACCATTGTTTTATCATTTTCATTCATATCACTGTAATACATTATGGAAATGATAAAAATTAATACCTCTTGGCTTATTTATAGTTCTCTGAATTTTGGGCCTTTGGTATTCTAGCTTTTTTTCTACCTTTTAGTGGTTTTGTCGCCATTCCTGAAAATAATGCCAGCAAAGTTTTGATAAGAATCAGGAAGTATATTTACAGTCTGCTACACTCCATCTATACTGGCTCCTGTTGTCTGTTGGAAATTCGGATAGATATTGAGAATGCAGTAAGGACTTATGCTGACTTAGGAAGCAGTGACTGTAGGCTCTCTTCCAGGATCCATACCTTTGCTAGCCCTGGGGAAACTGACTAGCTTTCCAATACCAGGAATGTTCTCCATCTTGCTGAGAGGGTCTTCATCCAGTTAGAAGCTGTTGGTCACTGTTACGGTATGTGTGCCACTCTTGCATCCTTAGGGCTGCCATGCAGTACAGATCACTGTTGTGGTTCACAGGTGTCATATCTAAGTAGGACAGTTGTTTGACTCCCTCCTTGGAAGCTTACATGTTGCCCTCTGGTGCCATGAAACGTCCTCAGGAAGGAGGCTTTAAGATCAGTTTCACCCCAAATCCTTTGGTATTTGTGTCTGAGGTGTGTGGCTTCTTAAGCACTAGGAACCCAACTCCTGCCTCTTCTGGGAGGCAATTGTGGGCAACCACAATATCCTGTAATGTTTGGAAGTCTCTGACAACTGTAACCAAAAAGTTCAAAACTGGCTCCCTATACCTGGTGTAGGTTGTTTTGGTGGAAATTCTGTGTCTCTGGTGAGGAGCACCATCAGTGCAGTAGGCAAATTGTCATTAAATGTATATGCTTTCAGAGACTTTGAGGTATCATGGACTTTTTTTGTTGTTGTTGAATGGATAGTAGTCAAGGAATACATGGATTCCTTATGAAGTTTCCAGATAGTCATACTGTGATTTTATCCTCTGTCTTCTGCGTTTGTATCTGTCTCATCAGCATGTTTAAATCCTCAACAATGTTTTTCTCTTTTCCCCTTCAGATTGTTTGTTCCCTGTTACTCTTGTTTCTATTACTCCCCCGCATCTCACAGCGCTGTCTTGTTAACTTTTCTGGTGACTGCAGTCACTCCAGGTTGTATACTCACATCTAAAGATTTCCAGCTAGGAACTTCCTATGAGAGAGATCATGCAATGTCTGTATTTCTGAGTCTGAGTTAACTCACTCAATACTATATTTTCCAAGTCCATCTATTTACCAGCCAATTTCATCATTTCATTTTCTTTACAGCTGAATATTATCCCATAGTGTATGTGTGCTACACATTCATTCTGTAGTGTATATGGACCACACTTTCACTGTCCACTTGTCAGTTAAAGGACATTAGGTTTCTTCCATTTGGTAGCTATTGTGAGTAGAGCAGGGATGGACAAGGGTGAGCAAGTATCTGATGAGTAGAAAGCCGAGTCCTTTGAGCCTATGACAAGGGATGGAACAGCTGGAACAGGTATTGAATTTATTTAACTTCTCTATTTTGACTTTCAGTGTGTCTATTTTTTGTTGTTGTTGTTCATGGAATTTTTATTTCTTCTTGTTGTTTTTATGTTGTTGTTGATTGGATTATTACTAGTATTCTTTCTTTTTGAGAAATAGTGATTTTCCATCTTGCTCATGGATGATTTCTTCCCAGTTCTCCTGTATTTGTCTTTTCTTCACATGAAATTTGTTATTTCCCATGTTCTCATGGAAGATTCCTCTGACTCTCCTGTGTATGTTTTGCCTCTAATTTACTATTTACAGTGCTTTTTTAGTGAAATCAACTGTGCTCATTGGTGACTTTCTTAAAATGGTTTTATATGTCCATCAGTTTTAAGAGAGCAGTTTTCTTTGTGCAGCAAGATGCTTGATGATTTTTCTCTTCAAGCTTCAAATGTCTTTCCATGCTCTCCTGTCTTTGGGATGATTGACCAGACACTTGGTCATATTCTTTTTCTTGGGTCTTTTCTTGTGGTTTGACATTTTTTCTTTAACAGCTTTCAGTTTTAATTTTTGCATTTCTTTTTTTGACCCCTTGATTTGAAAGGAAAGCAAGCCATCTGTTCATTTTACAGAAAGAGAAATTCAAAGAAGGCAAAGAGTAAGAAATGGCTAATTCTCCAGTAAACCTGTTGCAGGTCAGTGGTCCATTCCATTCTTTATCTAAAATGCTTTGAATCATTGAGAACCTTTAATTTTCTGCTTCTGATAAATTTTGAAATTTTATTATGAACAATTCTGCAAACAGAGTAGCAACAAAAATCACACACTGAAATTAAGCAGACCCAAAGACTATACAACTCAATGTACTTTTATTTAGTTAGATTCATCACAGGGCACAGAAGCTCTGGAGCCTCACATGGATTTCATATTTCACAACTGAATATATTTTGATTTACGTACCCACTACTTAAACTCCCCCAAATCTTTGGTAAAATTAGAACTAGAAAAGCACTTAGTTTTTCCATAACTGGTGTTCATTACGTGCATCTGGTCTCTGATATTTTAACCTTCCTGTTCTCTTTTCTGCAAGTTATACTGTACCCACATATAAATTGTTTCTATTTGATTGGGTCTTCTGCATATGAGCAATAACATGGTGTCTTCTTTCTAAAAGTGTATAACTGCAATTAATACTACACATTATGAGTTCATCCATTTTCCTGCAAAATTTTACCATATTTTTCTCTTCAGCTGAATAACACCCCATTTTACATAATTTCATTATCCATTCATCTGTTGATAAATAATTACTTTGATTCCAGTTGTTTTTTTGTTGGTGATTAAAACAGCACTAAATATAAGGTATAGATATCTCTATAGTGGGATTTTCCCATTTGTTGATTTGCAGTTTTATTCCCTCAGTATTTGATTAATATAATTTTTGTTAAATTCTTGCTATGTGCCTTATCCAAAAGGTCTCTGATACAGATTCTCTTAGCTATACCTTAAACATTTTTGATGTGTTTTAGGAATTCCTTCAATTTTTATTTGTCTTTGCGAGTGAAGTGAAATATTCTTCAAAACTGCTAGAACTGTTATTTGTCTCTGTTGTCTTATGCATATTCTTAGGAAAATTTTGGATTATACCAAATATTGCTACTGCAGATTTTACTATGTATTCATGGTGGCCCAAATATTCTCATAAAATTAATTCCATAGACTACTTATCTTATATGTCAGTGTGAAAGTTGACACATGTAGGGCTGTCACAATACCTGCTACTTCGGAAAAAAAATCAAAACTCTTTGTCTATAAAATCAGTCCTATATTCTGTCTTCCATACCTACTAATTTACTATTTAATGGTGGGACACTGTACCTAGAGTTTAAACATCCCAACTGAGCCTGTTAGAATAGAGTCATATAAGGCCCAAGTACACACAGGATTAATTCAGTGTTAGTGTTTTAGCATGACCTACAGGTACAGTATTTAAGCACATTTCCTCATGAATTTGCCTTCTGAGACATGTACACTGTGGGACAGAAACACAGCATCCATAACATAGAGATAACCATGTCCAGACCTTAAACATATTTTTTGTTTCATGTATACTGCTTTCGAGACTCTTGTGTCAGTGTGTTTACACAGAGTTAGAACGTTCATGATAGAATATGATTGTATTGGAAGTCATGCTGTGTCTCCCTTTAGCCAGGAAAGCACTACCATTTAGATCTTGGTCAACCCATCCTTTTATACTTCAGGGTCTGATGACATTCAGTGATGTGACTGTGAACTTCCCTAAAGAGGAAGCAGCAATGCCTGGACTCTGCTCAGAGGACTTTGTACATTGATGTGATGTTGGAGAATCACAACAACCTGGTCTTTGTGGGTGAGAACATTTTGCTCCTAGAATTCCTAATCCATCTTTTGCTTGTTGGCACTTCCTTGGTTGTAAAATCTGTTGAACTGTCCTGTGAAAACTAATAGTAGACAAGGCAGCATATAGCAGTAGGAAAGGACATTTTCAAGCTATTTAGTTTTCTCTTTCCATTTTCCATTTCAGAGCTGTCATCCACCCTTCATTTTGATTCCAAGGTTCATCTGTAGACTCAGTAATGTATAATATTTCTACTCATATCTTAAAGCCCCCTGTCTTTTATTGCAATAAACATGTTTTTAATTCTGAGAAAAATTCGAGATACACAAACTGAAAATGGTAAATATAGTGAAGAATTTGATAAGAAACATCTTTGGGGGGGATCCTGTTTAAATTCTTCTGCATTGTGTTTTCATGTACTGAGCAGTTTTGTCTTAGACTTCTATATTCCTTCTAAAAATTATAGCATGGGTCATTGTTGTCTCAAAGAACGCATGGATTATTGTATCAAGGCAGGCATGATCACCTGTCTGGAAAGAATGAGATTGCCCTGGAATGTGGAGAGGAGAGAGAACCACAGATAGGGTGGACTAGTGAATGAGCAGGACAACACTGAAGGCTTCAAGTGAAAGAGAAAGCTAGAACTGAGAATGTTTCTGTGATGTTCAATTCCACTTAAAATATTCCTGAGCTTTTAACTGTCTGTTGTAACTGTTAACAATGCATTGTCTTATTACACCTGAATCATGGTGACCTAACACTAGTACAAAATGAAGTTCTATTTGATTATGCTGAAGTAGGATTGGGATAATTTTGCAAAATTTTCAATCTATCATGATTATTCTTGAATTGCCTTCCTTGTATACATACCTTCATATTTTACATTCTTTTTCCCAATGGCAAATACACAGGCACTCTTATAGGAAGTAATCTCAGGAGTCAGTGTACAGAGTGGGCATGAGAGTAATCCTATGAGAAAATTTAAGAGAAACGGCAGTGTGTGGAGCACAGACTGTGGAGGATAGAAATAAGCAATAGCTGCCCATGACAGCCCTGCCTCAATCCAGCTGGAGCCTGTGATGCCTGGCATCAAACTGCCTCTGCATCTATTACTTTCCAAGAAGCTGATGTTTTTTTTTCTAGAGAAAGAAATAAACCTGTGATGTTTTTGAATAAGACTTTATTTGATATTTAAAGTAATTAGGTCTTCTGAATGGTAGTCTTTATTGCCTATCACTCAGTATAAATTCTGTGAACCATTGATTGGATTGAACTCCTCTTCTTCAATTTCTGAGAAGAAATATTTAAAGCTAGATATATGCATGTATTCTAAATATAATCACTCTATGATCTCTATCCTACAGCTAATTCACTGCCACCAATTATTGTTTTCATCTTTTTCCAGTTAGAGATTTTTGATAAGTATGAGATGTCTCTTATAACTCACTGACCTTTGAAGGCTGTCATGCTGTGCTTGTGAGAATCCATACAATTACAGTGAATGACAATGTCCATTACTGTGAGCTCTAAACTCAATAGTACCAGGTTCACTTATGTTAAATGACAACTTACAAAGACTGTCATTTATCACATGTTGATTATTGTAACAAACCATATTAATCTGAAGTATTCTCATTTTCAGAGAACTATTGCAAGTGTGATCTTGTCCATCACCGTGTGAAGACTGAAAAGGAGTCTCGTCAGTGTGATGAGCTTGACAAAGTGCTTCATGACCCCTCCACTTGTGCACTTTATAGAACAAGTGAATCTACAGAAAACTCTAATGACTACACATGCAGGAGTCACATGGATGCCTCTGTTGACTCATCAAACCCAGACAGACATGAAAGCATGCACACTTGGTAGTACTCTAAGTGCTACCAAGAGTACTACCAAGCAGCCACAGTGATTTCCTCCTGATGGGCCTGCTGGACAGTGCTCTTGAACTCAATGTGTTACCCTGACTATCTCAAACTCTTCATCCTCCTGCCTCAGTTTCCTGAGCACTGGGATTATAGGTATACACTTTTTCCAGGTTCTCCATTAATTCCTCCAAGAGGGATAGTCACTGTAATTACTAAAAATCCTTCAGTGCCCCTGAAGGGTACCAGCCATGGTGTGCTCAGAGAGGCCTTGTTCTTCTACATAATATGTAATGCTCTTTGCGACCTGAAGAATCAATCCAAAAAGCTTCACCTTCCCAAATACCCAGCTGCCCTAGTGCTCCTTTGCTGTTTACTCAATAGCCCTTCATCTCTCCAACAGTCATTAAGTGCATCCTTCCTGTGTGTAGCAGGCACTGTACCCGGTTGAGTGTTTAAGTACAGATCATGCGAGCCCCTGTCCTTCCTTCCAGTATAACAGCTGCTCTAGTCTACATGGACGTCAGTGCAGTGCAGTAAGTGTTAAACCTGTCACCAGATGACCTGGCCTGGCCCCAGGGATAGGGAGCCATTGTGAGAATTTGCTGTCTGACTTTAGTTCTGAGATTCAGGGACTGTCCTGATGGGGGAGGACAACAGGAAGGGCATGTTCACAAAAAGGATATTCAGGGAGGGTGTGCGCCCAGGACCAGGAGTGAAAGGCCAGCAGAACATAGAAGCTAGCACAAGCCTGGGACTTGGACCAAAACACCCTGCATAAGTGTCAGCAGGGCCCCTGTGATGGTTCAACAAATAACAGTGCTTACTTCCCAGTCCAATGATTTGAGTTCTATGGTGGGAAAAAAATGATTCTCATACATTGTCCTTTGATTTCCACATGTGAGTCATTACACACACACACACACACACACACACACAAAGTTAATAAATGTAATAAATGACTTGTGCAAAACTACATAAAAGGAGGGCTGAATCTTGGAAGGCTGGCTGTGAGCTAAGTACTCTCTAAGCAAGGGCTGACTACATGAACTCATGCGGCAGAGTCTGAGGTCACTCCTTCTGGGGGCACGTACACATCCCTCCTACTTTCTACCTCCTTCTGCACTTTCACGACTGAGCACTTTCACTGTTGTTACATCTGTTTTACATACTATGATGTTAGCGTCACATGGTCAGTGACGGATGGCCAGCTAGTCTTCAGGGCCTGTGCTTGTCCTCACCATGTCCTATGGAACACCAGTTGCTGAGGGCTCGTGGATTTGTCTGGAGGGATAAAGCAGTGCTGTGGTTCCAGGTGACACACATATTACCTCCCATGGTCTGCAGAGTTGCTTGGAGTAAGCGAAGGGGAGAGACTGTTCTCCGGAAGCCTCCTAAGGAAGTGGAAAGAGCTCACGAGTCATCTCTGCTACCAATAGCTAGATCCCCCAATGCTTTGTTTTTACAGTTATCATCTGTAAGTGGGGATGCCTGGGCCACCAGCCTTCCTCACAAAGCTGTTCAAAGGGTTGGATGTGGCTGAGGATGATGAGTCTTGAGAGGGGCTCATGGAATCTGCCTTTTCTGTAAGTAATATGAAGACCTCTGCTGTGCAGTCCTGAACCCAGGACCTGGGAGGAGGAGCCAATGCCAAGATGATCTTGACCCAGCTGATGCCAGATCACAGCCTCTACTGGATTTGAGAGACAGGAGGCCTTGCCTGATGCCACGTTTCTGAGGAGCCCCGCTATTTCTGAATTCCCAACCTACTCCCATTCAGCCACTGCCCCCACGATGCTATGACTCCCAGATCTGGGGTCCTCCAACTGTTTGAGCCCTTAGAGCATCAATACCACCCATCTCAGTCCAAGAACTCCTGGTTCATTGTAGAAGCAATGCCAGTCTGCTGCACCTTTTGGCTGGCTCCACATAGCTCCTACCTATCAAGACTGGCCCCGTGCTGGACGCTTCCAACTCAGTTTATCATCAAGTCACTCTCGGGCCAAGTGACTTTTCTAAAGGACACCTTCCCTGGCAGGTGAACTGTTCAGCACCTCTGTGCCTGTCACTGAGCAGCTACTTCCCATACCCTATGGCTAACCAGAGTATTCTTCAGAAGATTGTCCTGAAGACAGAGTCATTGCCCATAGACAGCTTCAGCTTCTCCATGCCTCCCTTACAGTCTGTGTCTGATCCCCCTGCTCCCAAAAGTATGTCTGAAGTCTGTTTTTCAGCTAGTGACTCAAAGATTAACTCCTCAAAGAGGGTTTTTCCATGGTAGGTAAACCCATAATCCTTGGTCAAGATAGCTGGAAAAGGAACACCCATTCTGACCTACACCCTGTCTCTACATTTATTTTTGCCTTCCTGCCTTTTCAGTGCTGGAAATCAAGCATAGGTCTTCCACATGCTTGGCAAGCAATCCATCCCTGAGTTACAGCTTCAGCCCTTGACTGTATTGGGTTTTCTTTGACACAGGGTCTGGCTAATCTGGAACTCACTATGTAGATCAGGCTGGCCTATACATTCACACTGGGTAAACATGTGCACATGCACACCCATACCCACATGCAATTAAAAAAGGTAGAACTTTATGGAGATAAAAGGGACTCATGGGACCCTCCCTGAGCCATGATGTTAATTGAGCCAATCCCACACAATTGCTTGTTCTCCGTACTTTTTGAATACTTATGTGTCCCTGGACTTCCCATTACTAACTGTAAGAGGCTTCCTTCATAAAGCTTGACAGGAGTACAAATTGATGGTTGTAAACAGATATTTAGATGTCAGACTACAGCATCCATAGGTTCTGCCCTTGCACATATAATTCCTAAGTCATGATTTTTTTGACCATGTTTACCCAACCATGCATGAATTCTCCTCTTTGAAACAGACCTCAGATGCAATCATGAAACAGACTGCTTATGCCCATAAGCAGTCATGACACTATTGAACCTGTAAATACATCTTGGCTAGTAAGTTGGTAATGTAGGATGCAGAGGCCAGGTGTAAGTAAGAACATTTGCATCTTTTCTCTACCTGACAGGAACTTGCAGTGCTATGAAACCTATCAAACACGGAGACTTCCCTGTTAAGTTCAATATTCTACATTCTCTATCCTACAACCAAAGTGTTTGGTGTCTTCAGCAACACCATGTACTTACGGTGGCCAAGCAAGAGGACAGGCAATGACATTAAATATTATGTTTTCTATTAACTTATAAGATGGTGGTATTTCACAAGGCTTCTTCATGAGTCCATCCTTTAGTTCAACCCACCCACTCTTCCTCCTTTCTTCCTGTACCCACAGTGAAACATCTAGTGCAGGTTATCCAGACAGGGTCTTACTGGAAAACCTAAATTGTCCTTGAACTTGTTATCCTCCTGTCTCTGCTTCCCAGGGGCTGAGATTATCTGAACATGCCACCAAGCCTAGCTCTAGTGCACATTATCCAATGCTCCATTGCATTATAACACCCGTGTTCTATCTCTGTTATAACTTTTACTTGGTTTACAAAATGATAGGTTCCCATGTATCTTCCTCACGGACATCTCATTTGAGATGAGCTTTCAGCAGTCTACTCTATTCTCCTCCATTGCACTATGTATTTGAACAATTCTACCCCTCAGGATTCCCACTCTCTAATCTCATATCACCTATTTTCTGCTATCCACCCACTCTTCTTGCATCTTCCCACTGATATCTGCACACAGTTTTCTGTAAACACACACAAAAAAGTAAAAGGAGCACCAACATATTCAATTACCCTTATTCTTGATGGGCATCTAGGTTGATTCTATGTCTTAGATGCTGTCAATACAGGAGCAATGAACGTCATGGGCAGATGCTCAGTGATAAGAAGGAAAAGTCCTTGGAGTTCATTCCCAGAAATAATTGTTGTGTAACACCTTCCTCTTACACTAACCCCTTAAATGTCAAGGAAACTCCCTGAAAATGTGGGAACAAGAGACCTTTGCTAGAGGCCCACTTCCCCATCAGCCTGGGAGCAGGCAGCTGTAACCAGTGTTTACTAAAAACAATCCAGTGTCTGTAATCACAAAGAAAAACATGTTTACCAGAGCAATAAGTTCCTCATGTTTCCAATGACTAACTGCCTCCTCTTGACCCCCCACGCCCGCCTCTGGTATCAGGGTATATAACCAGCCGGGGTAAGAGTAAAGTGAGCCTTCTTTCACCACCGACTGGTCTCTGTGTCATCAATCCCGACACCCTCCGCAGATTCTCAGTCCCAGGCTGCGCAGGTGTGGCATTAAAACACAGGACATTAAAAGAGAGGTCAAAGAATGGGATGAACCGAGTTGAAGCAGTGCATTGAACAGAGAAGCTCATAAAGTTCAGAAATAAACAACTTCGGCCCGGACATTGGTGGCTCACACCTTTAATCCCAGCACTCAGAAGGCAGAGGAAGGTGGATCTCTGTGAGTTCGAAGCCAGCCTGGTCTACAGAACAAGATCCAGGACACCCTCCAAAGCAATACAGAGAAACCCTGTCTGTAAAAACAAAACAAAAAAAGAAAAAAAAAAAGAAAAAAGAAAAAAGAAAGCAAGAAAGAAATAGACAATTTCATATGTTCAGGAAGTCACAGAAACTGGCAAGGCGCACTAGTGTGCTCCTGCCTTAAGCATATAATCAGTAATAACTGGTAACACTGTCAGACAAGCTGAGCCGCACAGAAGATGCTCACCAGGCAGACAGTGGTCAAGCTGCCTGTAGGAGGTAGGGAGTGACTTGAAAGACACTTTTAAACCACTTTGAGCTTCAGGCAAGCAATGAAGTGATCCCCAGGTTTCCAGCTTCATTAGTTGTCTCACTCCCTCAGTGGTGCAGCTGCCATTGGCTCTTTTGTGCTATGATTAACCCCAAACTCACACTGTGGTTTTAAAATACTTTTATTAACTTATTTTTTTAATTCCAATCCCAGTTTAGTCTCCCTCCCCTCCTCCTGCTCTCCCCACTGCCCCCCACCTCTCATATGCTCCTCAGAGGTTATGTCCTCCCCTAGGATGTCTACTAAGTCTGTCTCATCTTCTCATTGTCACTCACACTCTTGTAAGTCACCCCAATAAAACTCCCTGGGTCACTTAGCTTTAGAGATAACTCAGTGCTTAAGAGCACTGCCTGCTCTTTCAGAAGACTCACTTGGAATTCCAGTCACCCTCCCATGGGCATTCAATCTGTGACCTCTCTCTAGGGTGTCCAGTACCATCTTCTGGCCATAGCAGGCATAAAGAACACACACTTTGCATAGACAAATATGCATAACAAACACCCCAAAAGAGAAAACAAACAAAATCCTCATTTGCTCACCAAATTAGAAGTTTTCAGTTCCCAAATTTGGTTTGTCATTGGATCCTTAGCTGCAGTGAGTAGTTACCTGCCATGGTTCCACAACAATAATGTCAAATATCGATGTTGAAACTGGATCACAGTCATTTTCTTTCATTTATTCTGTTTTTATTAGAACATCTAGACTGATTTCAAAAGTTGTTTCTCTAATTCTCAGTTACACTGCCCTGATCCACGGGACATTCAACATGGGGGCTGGAGGGCATCTAGGAGAAAGATAGGGGATGGGAGATACGGGAAAAGGAGGCCAAGACAAGTATCTGATCAAGGCGACCACTTTATTTGATCCCAAAGGGATTTATATAGGGGAAGGGAGCAGGGGAAGGAATGGGGGTGTGCTGCAGCTGCAGTGAGCCTGGCAGAGCAAAGGTCAGTGGGATGGGTAGGTCCTGTGTCCTCTGGTAACCTAACTGCAGATTCTAACCTTATGTTTCACGTTCTTCCTTCTGTCATTCAAGCCTATGCCCTAGTGACTATGCAGGTAAGCTGCAGGTCTGTTTTCTCGGAACTTGCTTCCTCTCTTGAGAGGTGGTATTTCAGCAATGTGACCAGGAGTCACATTTTCTCTATGAGGACGTGATAATGCCATGGCTGAATTATGGTGATGGTCCCTAACAACACTGCAGTGTATGACCTACTTCCCCCACATTTTTGCCAATATTAGTTATCATTTCTTTACCTGATAAAGGGCATTGTGGTTAGGTATACATGGAGAATTAAAGGAGTCCTAGCATGCATTTGCTGATAGTTATATAACTTATTTTTCTGGTTGGGTTTTAGTTTGGGTTGTTGTTATCCTGTGTTCATATGTTTTATTTTTGTCTTCCTTTTTGTCGTTTTTAATTTTTACATTATTGTATAATTAGAACATTTCTTCTCTTGCTTTCATCCCACAAAATATTCCAATATACCCGCCTTGCAATCCTTCAAATATATGGCCTCATTTTTCACTAACAATTAATACATACATATATGAGTAGGTATATGTATCTGTATTCCTAAACTACTCAGTAATTATTGTGTGTAGTGTTATGTATGTTTTCAAGACTGACTTTTTGGTATTAAATAATCAATTGTTTTTGCTGTTTCTGAGTGGAGATCATGTTCCCGGCTCTCAGCATTCCCTGATTGCCTGCAGTTCTCTGTATGGTGGAGGCCTTGTGGGTTTTTCCCAATCCACTTTGGCATGCCCATTGTATGTATTGCTGTTTTGCTCATATTATGTGTGCATGTTGGTGAGATTTTAGAGATGTAGTTTCTAGCCTTAATAGGTGTGATGACTACTCTTGGTTGTTAACTTGACTTCATCTGGAATAAATTACAATTCAGAAATTGATGGAACTCCTGTAAGAGATAACTTTTGCTTGGTTAAAAGGGGTGAATCCACCTGTAGTCCAGACATTTTGAGGTGGGAAGAAATGCACCTTTGAAAACAATCTGGCTGGAAGTTACACCTTCAATCTTCTACTGGAAGGCTATATAATTACAGGGAAGAATAAAGCATTTGGCTCATTGTTTTCTGATTGGCTCATTCCTTCACTGACATTAAAGCCTATTTCTATGGGATTCCAGCATGTACTGAAGTCCAGCTGAATCATCCAGCATTGTGGATGGGAGCATGTACTGTATTTTTGGATTTTAGGTTCACAGCTAGTCATTGATGTAATAGCTGACCAGGAGCCTGTAAGTCATTCCAATAAATCTCCCATATACAAAGGACTTTATGTATGCATATATACACACACATGCATGCATGCATGCATACATACATACATACGTGTGTGTGTGTATGTGTGTGTGTGTGTGTACACTGGCATATAGAAAGAAGGAATAGCCTTTTGAAGAAACAGTTACAAGATCAATTAGGTGACAGCAACCTGCAGAGCTGTGGCATGGTTCTCCAGAAGGTAGTATATGCCTTGAATCAGAGTATGGTAAGGTTTCTCCCACAGCAAGAATCCAGGTGTCCCAGGATTCCAGGGCAGGAAAATGTGTAGTTCATCTTACTATCACTTCTAGTGATCCACTAGGAAATTTTTGCTTCCTGTTGCCTCAACATTAAGTTCTGCTACTCTGGAAGTCTTAGTTCCAAACAGCAGAGCATACCTGTCAAGAGCTGAAACAAATATTTTATTGAAATGGAAGCTCAGACTCCCCCTGGGCACTTTGTGCTTCTAATGCCCTTAATCCTACAGACTAAGAAAAGAAATAACCATGGAATATTCCTTTACTCTTTGTGAATATTTGTTACTGATTGGGTTAATAATGAAGCTGACTGCCCTAGAAAGGGGAACCCTAAGAGGGACACAAATGGAGGGCCCCAGGCAGGGAAAATAGTTAAGATCTCCTGGGTAAACTGGGAAATGTACAGAAGGGAGGTAATGGTGGATGTGAACACGAGGGAAGGCTGGTTTGGGTGAGGGATGCAGAGGGAGAGCAATGAAAGAGATTCCTTGATAGAGGGAGTTATTATGGGGTTAGGGAATTAGGCTGAGACTTGGTGCTAGACAAAGTCTCAGGAATTCCCAAGGGTTGACTTCAGCTAAGATACCTAGCAACAGTGGAGAGGATATCTGAACTAGTCTTCCCCTTAATCAGATTAGTGACTAGCATAATTGTCATCATAGAACATTCATCCAATACCTGATGGAGCAGATGCAGAAATTCATAGCCAAGTACTGGATTGAGCTCCTGGAGTTAAATTCGAGAGAGGAAGGAACGATCAATAGCATGATGGGGGAAAAAACACAGAGAGAGCTGACCCAAGCTAGTGAGAGCTCAAGAAGTGTTGATTAAGCACTGGCGAACATGCATGGGACCAAACTAGGACCTCTGAATGTGGGTGACAGCTTTATGGATTGATTTGTTGTGGGTCGCTGGCATTGAGATCAGGACTTTGTGATTATTTAGGAGCCACTGATGAGACACAATGAAATTGCCTACAACAACTAAAAACTCCTAGCAGCTTTATGAGGGGTGATTGAGCCACATTACTACAGGGAAACTGGATTGCCTCTACACAATTCAGTAAGAAGGATCATGTCTGTAGTACAGGAGATCGTTTGGAGAGTCTCTTAGTGCTAGTGTATCCTGTGATTAAAATCAACGGGAAACTACAACAGCCTAATCCAGGAAGGATGATGATTGGTGCCCCACAGAGATGGCTCCGTTTTACTTTTGTTTTGTTTTTTTGGAGACAGAGTTTCTCTGAATAGTTTTGGAGCCTGTCCTGGAACTCACTCCATAGACCAGGCTGGCTTTGAACTCACGGAGATCCGCCTCCTCTGCCTCCCCAGTGCTGGGATTAAAGGCGTGCACCACCACCGGCCAGCGGGTGTTTATGTTTTCTTTCAATTTCTTTTCTTAAGTGGTGTCACATCAATTAAGAGAAGACGAGTGGCTGCCATCCTTAAATTTAAGATGCTAAAGGCCTGTTCCACTAGGGACACTGCCACCTATGCTGAATTTAAGATGGGTTTACACTTGTAAGAGAGGAATTCACATCGCTCTTGGCGTGGACTTTGCAAAAGAGCCTGAAATGTGAGGGATCTGAAGAAACTCGGGAACGGAAGTGGAGTGTGGTGGGCAAGGCCGGGAGGAACTGCTCCAAGGAACCAGGCTGAAGTGACCGGAAGTTCTGCCATTATCCGTTGGATGCGGGGATCCACGTGCTTCGGAGCCGGGTGTGGAAGATGAGGCCTGGTGCTGCCAGGCCCTGGACTCCGGAGCCGCAGTATCCACGCCAGGCAAGTTGGGAAAGTCAGCATCAGCATCCCGGTGGCCCTGGAGCCTCCCAGGTCAGAGGAGCCATGGGGCTGGGACCCGGGAGGGAGGGACGGGGTGCGAGCGGTTTCTCTGCTCTTCATCCGGAAGCCGGCCACGAGATTCCGCTGACTTTGCCAATGGACACATGATAAAACAATTATTTTGTTGTTGTGGTGATGGTGTTTGCTGAGTTTGAGAGGTGAACTCAAGTGTTGCTCTTTCTGGCCCAGATTCACCAGGTAGATGATACTGGACTGGAAAACACTAACTTCCACCACCATCTATCTCCCAAGTGCTAGGATTAAAGCTGTCTGCGAACATCAGTATTCAAACTGTTGTGTTTTCTTTTGTGTTCTGTTGAGAGCCAGTGGTGTGACTGTGGGCTTCTCCCAGGAAGATGGGCAATGCCTGGAGCCTCTCATGAGGGCTTTGTACTGGATGTTGCAGAATTGTAACAGAATGGTTTCTGTGGCTAAGAATTGTTTGCTTTTAGTCTCCCTCCCTTGCTTCTTCTCAGTATTTCTTGACAAACTAATTGGCAAGTTTGAAGGCTTTTTGTGAATCTGTCACACATCCCACAGAATAAATGAGATCCTCAAAAGAAAAAGATAATTTTCATGAGATGTTCTCCCTCCTTTCAGTATGTCCCTTTGGGAGGTGTAAGGATCCATCATTATTGACCCATATTAAATTCAGAACATGACTAGTGTACAATCTTCTCTTCCTAATAATTCAGTACCATTTCTGCCCTTGAGTTTTGACTGAGCTATGATTGGAAGTAGGATTCAAGAGATGCTAACTAAAAATGCTTCCCAAATATTATCACTATTGTGACATTGCAGGAGAGTTAGGAAATCATTTGTATAATCCTGTATTTAGATTTCTCTTTATCTACTGAGCACAGTACTGTGTGAGAAATCCAGGTGCTTCCTGAACAATCTCTTTCTCATGTGCAGGGCTCACTGATCACCTAGACCTGCTCACCTGTGCAGCAGAACAAAGGGGCCTGGAAGGAGAGAGGAGACAGAAGCTTAGCAAGCAGGTATGGTGGTGGGATTGGTGACGGAGTGGAAAGGGATCAATTAAATGTGGAAATGGGACATGAAATTTGTTTTGCCACATTGTGTTTCAATGATTCTGTAGTCGGGAGCCAACGGCTACCACAGGCATAGTAAGTGTAGCCGCTTACACCCCAGCCTCAGGGAAAGGCTTCCCCAGTGTATCGGCAGGACAGGGTCTTCCAGCTGGGGATGTTTCCCCAGTGAGCAGTTTTGCCCTGGTAGGAGAAGGGTTCCCCATGAATTTGCTACAGTTCAGCTCTGCTCCCGGTAGAGTGGAGAGCAGGAAGGCTTCCCCAGGCAAAACTGTTTGCTCTGCTCTGCCCAGGGTCATTACTGCTCCCCCACAAAAGAAGTTCTTCACCCAAAGCTCATTGAAGGCGTTTATTGGGAGGGAAGAATCCAGGAGAATGGCTGCCCTCTACCAGATTGGCAGAGGACACCTGGGTAGCAAGAACAGCCACAAACTAACCAGACACAGGGTTTATATAGGGCTTCCAGGGTGGGAATTGGTCAGATTTTAATCTCTGACTCAGGGATTAGCTAGTTTTCTGCACAGGGTTAGGGTCAGATTTGGCTCTGGTTTTAGGGCCAAAGTGTGTTTCTTTCTGTGGTCCTTTTTAGCCTTTTGGCTCTAGTTTTAGGGCCAGGGTGTATTTTGTTCCTCTGACTCTGATTCCAGGGACAAAGTGTGATTCTTTGGCACTGGTTTCAGGGTCAGGATGCATTTTTTTGGTTCTGGTTGCAGGGCCAAACTGTGTTTCTTTGGCTTTGCTCAGGGTGTGTTTTTTTGGCTGGACCCTTTTCCCTACAGTGATACTTTAGCAAAGTCTATTTTGTTGTTGTTGACTGTCAATTTTAAGAGAGTCGTGTTCTTTGTGCTACAAGATGCTTGATGATGATTTTTTTCTCTTCAAGCTTCAAATGTCTTTCTGTGCTCTCCTGTCTTTAGGACCATTGACCAGACACCTGGTCATATTCTTTTTCTTGGGTCTTTTTATGTGGTTTGACATTGTTCTCTAACAGGTTTCAGTATCACTTGTACACTCTAACCCTTTATTTTATAGGGAAGTGAGGCATGTGTTCCCTGTTCCCGAAAGAGAAACTCAAAGAAGAGAAACAGGAAGAGATGGCTAATTCTTCAGTAAATATATCACAGGTCAGTGGTATTTTCCACTCTCTATTTTACTTTCATAGATTAAAAGCTTTTAAATTTTTCCTTCTGATATTTTAAAAGTTATTATTATTATTATTATTCACTATCTGCATTCAGTTCCTGATAATTTAACCTTCCTGTTCACTTTTCTCCAAGTTATGCTGTGTCCACATATACATTGTTTCTGTATACATGTGTGATTGCGTAGATAACGCATATGAGCAAAAACATGGCGTCTTTTTTCTAAAAGTGTGTGACTACACTTAATATTACAAGTTTTTGATCTTACTGCATTTTTTCTCTTTAGCTGAATTGTACCCAGTTTTATGCAATTTTCATAATACATTCATTTGTCTGTTGATAGATAAAGCTTTGATTCTAGTACTTTCCCTTTTGTGATAAAAAAGCAGTAACATGGGGTACAAATATCTCTGTAGTGGGGTGTGTTTTTCTCTGGTTATTTGGCCAGATGTGAAGGAGCTTGGTTATATGTTCTCTCTTGAATTTTTTCAGTAATCTCCAAACCATTCCTGCAATAGCTGTACTAATTTACACCCTCCCCTTCATTATCAGTGAATAAGGCTTCTTTTCTCTCCCTATGGCACCTCACATTTATTGTCAGTTTAGTTGATGACAGCCATTCTGTCTGGGGTGAGTCAGTTATTTTTTTCTTACTTTAAATATCAATCGCAGTTCACTCTCTCTCCCATCCTCTCATACCCCCTAATAACCACCCCTATCCCATGTCCCATCCACCCCTCAGAGAAGGTGAGACCTTCCATGAGGGATCATTAAAATCTGTCAAGTCTTTTGGGGTAGGGTCAAGGCCCTCCCCTGTGTATCTAGGCTAAAAGAGTATCTCTCCATGTGAAATGATCTCCTGAAGTCCATTTTTGCAATGGGAATACACCCTAGTTCCACTGCCAGAGACCCCATAGACTGCCCAGTGCCCTGAACTGACACATGTTCTGGGGGCCTATTTTGGTTCTATGTTGCTTACCCAACTGTCAGACCGGGGTCCATGAGTTCCCTCTTCTCAGGTCAGGTGCTTCTGTGGGTTTTCCTAGCGTGGTCTTTGCCCCTTTGTTCATGACTCTTCCCTCTCTGAAACTGGATTCCAGGAGTTCAGCTCAGTGTTTAGCTGTGGATTTCTGCTTATGCTTCCATCAGCTACTGGATGAAGGCTGTAGGATGGTAATTATAGAAGTCATCATTTTCCTTATAGAGGATTATCATTTAAGTTAGCCTCTCCACTATTGCTTACGGTCCTAGTTGGGGTCATTCTTTTGGATATCTGTATAATTCCCTAGTGCCAGAATTTCTCTTTAAACCAATAGTGGCTCCCTTTATTGATATGTCTCTTTTCTTGCTCTCCTCAATTCCTCTCCCCACTCAGTCTTCCTGATCCTTCATGTTCTCCTCCCCCTCCTCTTCTTCCCTCCTCTTCCTCCCACCTCTCCCTATACTCTCCATTTGTTCAGAGGCTCTTGTTCTTTTGTGCTTCACTGGGGGACCATGTATGTACCTCTTAGGGTCCTCCGTGTTTCCTAGTTTCTCTGGAGGTGTGGATTGTAGGCTGGTTATCTTTTTCAGTATGTCTGGAAACCGTATGAAAGTGAGTACATACCATGTTTGTCTTTCTGTGACTAAGTTACCTCACTTAGCATGGTTTCTTCTAGTTCCATCCATTTGCCTGCAAATTTCAAGATTACATTGTTTTTTTCCTGGCGGTTAGTGCTCAATTGTGTAAATGTATCACATTTTTTGTACCCATTCTTTGGTTGAGGGACGTCTATGTCAATTCCAGGTTCAGCTATTACAAATACTTCTGCTGTGAACTTAGGTGAACAGATGTCCTTGTTGTATGAATGTGCATCTCTTGGCTATATGCCTTTGAGTGGAATTGCTGGATTTTGTGGCAGACTGATTCCCATTATCCTGATATTAGCCACACACGTATGAACACCTGATCTTTGACAAAGAAGCTAAAATTATACAATGGAATAAAGAAAGCATCTTCAACAAATGCTGCTGGCATATCTAGATGCTAACATGCAGAAGATTGCAGATAGATCCATAACAATTGCCATGCACAAAACTTAAGTCCACATGGATCAAAGACCTCAATACAAATCCAGCTACACTGAACCTCTTAGAGGAGAAAGTGAGAGGTACCCTTGAATGAATTGGCACAGGAGACCACTTCTTGAAAATAATGTCCATAGCACAAATACTGAAATTGACAATTTATAAATGGGACTTTCTGAAATTGTGAAGGTTCTGTAAGGCAAAAGTCATAGTCAACAAGACTAAACTGCAACCCACAGAATGGGAAAAGATCTTCACCAACCTCACATATGACAGAAGGCTGATTTCTGAAATATACAAAGAACTCAAGAAGCTAGTCACTAAAACACCAAATAATTCAACTAAAAAGTGGGGTACAGAACTAAACAGAGAATTCTCAATAGAGGAATCTAAAATGTCCAAAATACTCAAATACATTAGCCATTGGGGAGATGCAAATCAAAACAACTCTAAGATACCATCTTACATCTGTCAGGATGACTAAAATCAAAAATACCAGCAACAGTTTATGCTGGAGAGGATGTGGAGAAAGGGGAAAGCTTCTCCATTGCTGGTGGGAGTGCCAACTTGTACAGCCACTGTGGAAATCATTATGGAGGTTTCTCAGGAAAATGGAAACAAGTCTACCTCAAACATGTTATGCAATCACTCATATATGTGTTTTAGATATGGAGCAGAGAATTGCCAGCCTACAATTCCACCACCAGAGTCTGGGAGACAAGGAGGATCTTAAGAGAGATATGCTTGGTACCCCAGAGAAGGATAATGGACCTCCTGAGTGGATTGGGAGCATGGGGGAGGGGAAAAGGAGCAGGGAGAAAAAGAGAGGGACAAGAGGAGGGGAGAGGAGGACATGCTAGAGCAGGAAGGTTGAGTCAGGGGATGAATAGAGAGCAGGATGAGAGATACCATAATAGAGGGTGTCCTTATAGGTTTGAGGAGAGATCTAGCACTAGTGAGATTTCCAGAAATCTACAAGGATGACACCAACTGACAATCTAAGCAATAGTGGAGAGGCAACCTTAACAGCCCTTCCCTGATAATGAGACTGACGACTGCCTTATATGCCATCCTAGAGCTTTTATCCAGTGGCTCTTGGAAGCAGAAGCAGATACCCACAGGTAAATACTGAGCTTAACTTCTGGAACCCAGTTGCAGAGAGGGAGGTATGATGAGAAAAGTGGTCAAGAGTGGGCAGTGAAACCCATGGAAACACCTGGCATCTGCAAAGGGAATTCATGGACCCCAGACTGATGGGTGACAGGCCATCATGGGACTTACCCAGACCCCCTAAATCTGGGTGTCAGTTTGGAGGCCTTGGCGATTTAAGGGGCCTGGGGTAGTAGATCAGTATTTATCTGTGCAATACTAATGGACTTTGGGAACCCATTGCATATGGAGGGATGCCGTGTCATCCTGGAAACCTGGGGGAGGGCCTAGGCTCTGCCCTGGATTACATGATAGACTTTGGAGATACCCCGTGGTGGACCTCACCCTTCCTGGGGAGTGTAGTGGGCATTGGGTGGGGTGTTGGGAGGATTGGTGGGTGGCAGTGGAGGACCAGAGGAAGAGGGAGCTGTGATTTACATGTGAAGCAAGCTTGTTTCTAATTTTAATAAAAAAATAGAGGCCCTTGGTAATATACATTGAAGAAAGAAACAAAAAAATGCCCCTGGTGTCTACTACTGGAGGATGCAGGGGCAGAGAGGAATGATGGCCTATGATGCTGGCTGCTTGTATTGTCTCCTGGTCCCTTTGGGGCATTCAGTGGCAGGAAGGCCTGAGTCAATATTTATAAATAGTTTTAATTTGTATTCAATGTGTATTTTTGTAATCCTGAGCACTCGTTCAATGTTTATTGGCCAATAGATTTTCTGTCTTTGAAAAGTGTCTGTTTAGTCCATTTGTTGATTTGCAATTTTATTTGCTTGGCATTAAATTAATTTAATTTTTGATAAATTCCTGCTCTTAGCATTATTCAAAGTTTCACTCATGTGGATTTGCTTACCTATACCTGAAACATTTTTTGATGTATTTCTTTTGATTCCTTCAATTTTTATTACTGTTTGTGAATGAAGTGAAATACTCAGAAAAACTTCTGAAATTGTCATTTATCTCTGTTGGCTTATGCTTTTCTCAGGTAATTTTTGAATTTAATCAAATATTGATGATGCAGTCTTTTTTCTATTCATACTGGCCCAAATATTGTCATGAAATTAACTTCATAGGCTACTTACCTCATATGTCAATGTTAAAATTGACAGTATAGCCGGGCGTTGGTGGCGCATGCCTTTAATCCCAGCACTCGGGAGGCAGAGGCAGGCGGATCTCTGTGAGTTCGAGGCCAGGCTAGACTGACAGCCTCCAAAACAGAGAAACCCTGTCTCGTAAAAAAACAAAAACAAAAACAAAAAAAGATTATATGACAGTATGCAGTGCTGTTACAATCCTTGTTACTGTGGAAAAAAACCAAAACTCTTCTCTATGAAATCGGTCATATTTGGCCTTCTGTACCTTCTTCTTTCCTAATTAATGGTGTACCATTGGACCTAGAGTTTAAACACCCCAACTGAGACTCTTAGAATAGAGTAATGTACGGCACAAATACAGACAGGATTGATATGTGTCAGTGTTTTAGCATGACCTACAGATATAGCATTTAAAGCTGAGACATGGACAATGTGATCCTATGTCACATAAACACCACATCTGTAAAAGATAGATAACGATTTCTAGACCTTAAATTTACTTCTTGCTTCATGCATTCTGATTATAAGTCTGTTGTTCCATCCTGTTTTTACAGAGCTATATCATTCATGATAACATGTGACTGTATTGAGAAATCCCATTTTTGAGTAATTATCTGAGCTCCTCCTCTAACTTCTGTCTCCTTATATCCAGGAAAGCATATCCAAGTAGCTCTTGGTCAAACCTTACTTTTGTATTTCAGGGTCTGCTGACATTCAGGGATGTAACAGTAGACTTCTCCCAGGAGGAGTGGGAATGCATGGACTCGGCTCAGAGAGCTTTGTACATTGGTGTCATGTTGGAGAATTACAGCAACCTGGTCTATCTGGGTGAGAACATTTTGCTTGTTGAATTCCCAGCCCATCTTTTGTGTGTTTTAACTTCATAGGTTGTAAAATCTCTTAAGCTTCTTAAAAAAAAAAACAGGAGACAAGGCAAATTTAGTAGTTTAGAAGAAATTTTCATGCTATGTTGGTTTCTCTTTCCAATTTGCATTCCACATTTTATTTCAGTTCCAAGACTCATCCATAGACTCAGTAGCATATATTATTTCCACTCATATCATAATTCTCCATGTCAATTATTGTAGTAGACATGTTTTTGATTATGAGAATTATTCAAGATAAAGAAGGAAAAATACTAAATATACTGAGGAATTTGACGAGAAATGTCAATCCAGAAAACTTGTTTAAATTCCTCTGCTTTATGTTTTCATATACTGACCCCTGTACTGTGTTAGACTTCTGTATTATTTCTAAAAGCTCTAGCATTGGTAACTTTTGGACTGCTTGAAAGAACTGGTGGATTATTGTATGCAAGGTAACCGTGATAAACTGTCTGGAAAGAATGAGGTTGCCCTGGAAGAGGAGAGAAGGGAGTAGCCACAACTAGAATGGGCTAGTGAATAAGCAAGAGAACAGTGAAGGCTTCAAGTGAAAGAGGAAGCAAGAGCTGAGAATGGTATTTTTTTTTTTTGGTATTCAATTCAACTTGTTATGGTTTCTGGTCACTTAACTTAGTATAGTGTCCTGTTCCCAGGATGCACATTCTTACTGTTCTAATTACCGTTAGAAGGCCTTCTATCTTATTACACTATATTGTAGTGACTTAATACTCCTAAAATACAGTTTTGTTTGACTGTGCTGAAATTGGACTGGAATAATTTTTCAAACTTTTAAATCTAACTTGGATCTTTGAAGTAATGTTATTCTGTAATTGCCTTCCTTGTATGTATATCTTCATATTACATCCTTCAGTTTATTCCCAGTGATGAATACACAGACATCCTCTGAGAAATAATCTCAGGAGTCAGAGTGGATCTGAGGATAACCCTGTGAGGAAAGTTAAGAAACACAGTGGTGTGTGGAACTCTCATCTAACTGACAGAAATAAGCAATGGCTGCTCGTGACAGCCCTGCCTCAAACGAGCTAAAGCCGGTGATATCTGACAGATGTTGTCTTTGTATCCGTTACTAAGTATAAATACTATAAACCTGGGATTGGATTACACTCCTCTTTATTAATATCTGAAAGAAATATTTAAAGATAAAGACATGTACTCTAAACTTAATCCCTCAGTGAGCTCTATTCTACAGCTAAGTCATGTACATCAATTATTTTGTTCATCGTTTTCCAGTTAGAAATTTTTGACAAAGATGAGATATCTGTTATAAATCGCTGATGTTTGAAGGCTGTCATGCTGTGTTTGTGAGAATCCATCCAATTACAGTGAATGAAAACTGTCCATTTCTGGAAACTCGAATTTCAATAGTTCTAGGTTCACTTATGTTAAATGCCAACTTAGGGAGATAGTCATATATCACATGTTTATTATTAGAACAAGCCCTATTAATCTGAACTGTGCTTATTTTCAGAGAACTATTACATACATGATCGTGTCCATCACCATGTGAAGACTGAAAATGAGTCTTGTCAGTGTGATGAGCTTGACAAAGTGCTTCATGACCCCTCCACATGTGCACTTCATATAACAAGTGAATCTACAGAAAACTCTAATAACTACACATGCAGTAGTCACAGGGATGCCTCTGTTGACTCATCAAACCCAGACAGACATGAAAGCATGCACACTGGAGAAGAACCTTGCCAATCTAAAGACTGTGAGAAATCTGTAAATTTGTGTTCTTGTATTACTCAAGATCAGAGAGTCTACACTGCAGAGAAAGAGCACAGGCAGGGAGAACATGATGACTCTTTGAGCTCTGCATACAGGCTTTTACAACAACCAATCTGCATTGAAGAAAATCCACACCAGTGTGGGAAATGCAAGAAATGCTTCAGGACTGCATCCTACCTCAATGATCATGAGAGAATTCATACTGGAATTACACCCTGCCAGTGCAGCATTAATAAAAAATCTTTTGCCCAGCATGCTAGTTGTAAAACACACCAAAGCCTTCATACTGTGGAGAAACCACATACATGCATGGAATGTGAGAAATCGTCTTCTTGGAACTCACAATTTAGAATGCATCAGCGGATTCACACTGAGGAGAAACCTTCCAAATCTATCAAATGTGACAAGTTCTTTACCCAGGACTCACATCTTAGTAGACATCAGAGAGTTCACAGTGGAGAGAGACCTTACAAATGCATGGTATGTGACAAGGCCTATACCCAGCATACAGGTCTTAGAAGACATCAGAGAGTTCATACTGGAGAGAGGCCTTTCAAATGTATGGAATGTGACAAATCCTTTATCTGGATTTCAGATCTTAGAAAACATCAGAGAGTTCATACTGGGAAAAAACCATACAAATGTGGGCAATGTGACAAGTCCTTTACCTGGGACACACAATTTAGAAGACATCAGAGAGTTCATAGTGGAGAGAGACCTTTCAAATGTATGGAGTGTGACAAGTCCTTTACCTGGGTTTCAGATCTTAGAAAACATCAGAGAGTTCATGCTGAACAGAGACCTTACAAATGTATGGAATGTGACAAGTCGTTTACCTGGGTTTCAGGTCTTAGAAAACATCAGAGAGTTCATACTGGGGAAAAAGCTTACAAATGTATGCAATGTGACAAGTCCTTTACCTGGGATGGACAACTTAAAAGACATCAGAGAGTTCATACTGGAGGGACACCTTTCAAATGTATGGAATGTGACAAGTCCTTTACCTGGGTTTCAGATCTTAGAAAACATCAGAGAGTTCATACTGAACAGAGACCTTACAAATGTATGGAATGTGACAAGTCCTTCATCTGGGTTTCAGATCTTAGAAAACATCAGAGAGTTCATACTGGACAGAGACCTTACAAATGTATGGAATGTGACAAGTCCTTTATCTGGAATACCCAACTTAGAAGACATCAGAGATCACACTGAGAAGAATCATGTATTAAATGTGCCATGTCCTTTACCAAGATGTCACATTTTATAAGACATCAGAGGGTCCACACTAGTGAGAGACCTTGGATTTTTAAGGATTGTGACAAATCTTTTCCTAGATGAAAACATCTTAGAACATATCAGAATATTCATACTGGAAAGAACCTTACAAATGCCAAGACTGACTGTCATATCCTTTATCCATATTATAAGTCTTAACAGATGGAAAGAAAAATACCATTGTAAATAATGTGACATACCTTTTTCTTGTTTTCTCTTCTCACAAATAACAACAGTATATATAAGAAACTTGTGAAAACCTTTAATGAGTATTATATCTCAGAAACATATAGTGTTTGTGCCAAATTAAAATTCTCCCAATGTTACTGCAGTAAAAGCTTCTCATTTCTTTTCTCTACATGTGTGTTTTCCCTGCTTGTTTTACTGTGCATTCCATGAAGTCCTGGCACAGGTGAATGTCTGAATCCCCAAACCTGGAGCTCCAGACAATAGTGAGTTGCAGTGTGTGTGCTCGGAATTGAACCTGTGGCCTCTGAAAGAGCAGCCAGCATTCTTAACCACTAAGTGATATCTCCATCCCCTAGGAAAAACTGTCAGAAGACATTGATCTTTTGTTCAACATCCAAAGACGAATTAACAGTGCCAGGCATGACAGTGCAAGCCTTTAATCCCTCACTCAGGAGACGGGGCTATGGGGTTGTCTGAGTTTGAGGACTTCCTAAAGTACAGAGTGAGTTCCAAGACAAAAAGGATTACACTTACCCTGTCTCTAAACAAGAAATCATAATGCAGACACGATTTAATTTTGTATCTAGTTTTCTGAGCATCACAAAATTCATGCTTCTAATCAGCGATATAAAACCATAGTCTTGTAATTCCTTTCTTCTTGTTTATTGAATGTTATCTCCCTGAAATGCATTTAATCTGAAAGATCCTTTACCTAGTTCCAAAACTGGACACATAAAAATTCAAGGGTGGCCCAGCCCATAGCCCTCCCCTCCCCTTTCCCTATTTCAATACTAAAAAGCAACATTCAAGGGAAGAACACAAGAAACAGTGTGTGTGTAGGAGTTTTTATTAGGGGAAACGAAAGGGGGCGGTTAGAGGGAAACATCCTGTGGGAACAGGAGCTGTAGTAGAGAAGAGAAGATGTGGAGAGAGATGGAGACAGAGTGACAGGCCAAGGAGCAGAGGGCAATATCGAGGTAGGCCAGGCCCATATAAAAGGGAACTTAGTGAATGTGCAGAGGTGGTGCTTTTCTTGGCTGCAGCCATGGGCATATCCTTCCAGAACTCCAAGGGCAGAACAGTACAGAAGTCAGAATACAAACACCTGCTGAGAGAACTTATTTCCCATTCAGGTGGGGGTGTTCGGGTTCAGGCTTCTGGAGAGGTAACTAGGGACAGGCGGCCCGGAGGAGGTGGGTGCTATTGGGGCATCTAGCCCAGATGGAATCCCTGGGTTCCTTTCTGTAGAGGAAAGGATGCCCTGGTTTTGCAGGAGCCTAGGAAGGGACATCCTAGCAGATGGACTCACCCAACTGCACAACCCCAACCCTTCCTGCTTTGCCTAGATGAAGCCACCCCACAAGTCCCTACTGCTTAGTGCACCCTGAGGCTTGGCACCTCTCCTTTCCACGGTCCCATACCCAGTCTTCTTTGGGTGGATGCCTCGGGCCCTGGGATATAGGATGTATCAACCTGGAAGAGGAAGACAAGCCTGGGCATCGATCCACTGCGCGCTGTACCTTGCATAGTGACTGGGAGCTTGAGCACAGTAGGCAGTGCCTTTGGATACATAGTTCCCTGGTGAGGTGGTGAGAGACAGTTAGCTGGAGAGGGTGCTGCTGCCTGGTCTCTAGGGTTGGGTGCCTAAGGGAGGGCCAGGGGTTCGGGCCTAGAGAACAGGGCTCTACAGCAGGAAACTCATTAATTTCAAGGAAACTCCCTAAAAACACAGGTCATTAATGGAGAGATAAAGTATCGGGATGAACTGATTGGAATCGGTACATGCTACAGAGAAGCTCCTAAAAATCAGAAACAGACACCATCATAAGTTCAGAAAGTCACAGAAACTGGCAAAAAGCCCTAGTGCCCGCTGAATCAAGCATATGCAATCAGTAAGGACTGCTGACACTGCCAGATAGGCTGAGCTGCACAGAAGGTGCTCAGACCAGCCATGAAGCAAACAGCCCTAAAATTGCCTGCACCAGACAAGACAAGATGCCTGGGGGAGGTAGTGGGTTGCTTGAAAGACACTTGAAATCTCCTTTGAGTGGCCCAAAAGCTGTGCATTGATCTCCAGGTATCCAGCTTCATTAGCCATCACTCTCACAGGGTGATGCAGCTGTCATTGATACCTATGAGCTTCTATGAGAAACTATCACCCACACTCTTGTAAGTCATCACAGGGTGATGCAGCTGTCATTGATACCTATGAGCTTCTATGAGAAACCATCACCCACACTCTTGTAAGTCATAACAGGGTGATGCAGCTTTCATTGATACCTATGAGCTTCTATGAGAAACCATCACCCACACTCTTGTAAGTCACCCCAACAAAACTCACTGTTCCACTTTGCTTTAGAGATGACTCAGAGGAAAAGGGCTCTGTCTGATATGTCAGAAGACTGGCTCTCAATTCCCAGCATCCTCTCATGGGCACTCAATCTCTAAACTCATTCCAGGGCTTCCAATGCACTCTTGTCATTTTCTAGCAAAAGTAACATGCGCATTGCACACAAACAAGCAGACAAAACACCCAAAAAGAGAAAACAAGCTGAACTACCCTTTGCTCACCAACGCAGAGTTTTTTAATCTCAACTTTGGTTTGCCATTGAATTATTGTCTTCAGTAAGTAGATTTCTGCCATTGTTCTACAGGAATAGTGTCACACATAGGTGCAGTCATTTTCTTTCATTGATTCACTTTTAAGACCATCTAGACTGATTTCAAAAGTTGATTCTCTAGTTCTCACTCCAGCTACAGTGTATGAACTCTTTCCCCCCATATTAGTTAACATTTCTATTTCTGAAATTGAAGCTAGGACAACATGGAGACTTAAAGGACTCCTAGTCTGTATTTCCTGATAGGTATATAACTTATTTTCCTGGTTTGGTCCACAAAATCTTCCATTATAACCAGCCTTCTCCCTTTAAAATACGTGGCCTTTTTTTCATTAACAGATAATATATACATTTATAAGTAGGTATGTGCACATACATTCATAAACTAATTAGGCATTATAATGTTCCTGGAATGTATGCTTTCAGTGTTGAGTATTTGGTATTCAATAGCCCGCTGCTGTGCTTCTGTGGAGGGGAGATCATGTCTCCTGCTCCCAGCATTCCTTGGTTGACTATAGTTCTCTGTGTAGGGTGGAGGCCTGGTGGGCTTTTCCCCATGCACTGGTGATGTCCTTTGTGCTAATGCTTTGCTCACAGTATGTGCTTATGTGGGTTAGGTTATAGAGACGTAGTTTCTGGCATCACTAGGTGTGATAGCTACTCTCTGTTGTCAACTTGACATCATCTGGAAAAACTACAATTTAGAAACAGACAGCACATCTGTGAGAGTTTATTTTTTATTTTGTTAAAGGAGTGAATCTACTTGTAGTTAAGACCTCTGAGGTTTGAAAACATGTACCTTTGAAAACCATCTTGAGGTTGGAAGTAACATCAGTAACATAAGCCACACCTTCTTCTGCAAGCCTCTATGAGGACAGAGAAGAAGAAAGCATTTGGCTCAAATCTTTGCTGGCACATCCATTCCTTCACGGACACTGAAGCCTATTTCTATGGGATTGAGCATACACTGACGACCAGCTGAATCATCTAGCACAGTGGACCAAGCAACTACTGGATTTTTAAATTTTCTCTTCTCATCTAATCATTGATGGATTAACTGGACAGCAGTGTCTAAGTCATTCAAGTATACCATATATATATATAATATATATATATTATATATATATATATATATATATATATATAGAGAGAGAGAGAGAGAGAGAGAGATTCTTCCAGAAGCAGCTGCCATCATAGAAAGAAGGAATGGCCTTTTGAAGAAACATGTACAGTGCCAATTAGGTAGCATCAGCCTGTAGGACTGTGGCAGGGTCCTCCAGAAGGCAGTATATGCGTTGAATCAGTGTCCAATACATGGAAAGTTTTCTCCCACAGCTTGGATCTTTGGTGATATCTTGCACAAATGAATCCTGTCTGGGGGTCAGAGAATGGAGCTTGCCACTAGCTAACCATAGAGGTCTGGAGGTCTGTATAGACAGGAAGGAAGTGACATAGCTGGGCAGTAACAGTATATAAGCAGGGGAAACAGGACACCACTCTCTTGTCCCTGGAGACACTTTGGAGGTAAGGTGTGCTGTGGCTTACTCCTTCTCTCTGATCTCTCAGCATTTCCCTCTATATCAGACTCTGCCCTTTTATTATCTTGACCAATTAAGGACTCCTTTACAAGGATCCACATGTCCCAGGATTAAAGGAGAAAAAAGAAGAATGATAGTTCTTCTCACTATCATCCCTAATGACCCACTAGGAAAGTTTTGCCTTCTGTTTCCTCAACATTAAGATCTGCTGGCCTAGACTTCTGGGTTTCACACATGTGAGCATTCCTGCTAAGAGGAAAAACAAACTTTGTACTGAAATGGAAGCTGAGACTCCTTCAGGTCACATTCTGCTTCTAATGCCCTTAAACCTACAGACTGAGAAAGGAATAACAATGGAAAATTCATTTACACTTTGTGAACATGTATTACTGTGATTGGGTTAACAATGAAGCTACCTGCCCTAGAAAGGGAGGCCCTAAGAGGGACACACATGGAGGGCCCTAGGAAGGGAAAATAGTTAAGATCTCCTGGGTAAATTGGGAGGGCAGTATAATGGAGGGGATGGGAACAGGAGGGATCAAGAAGAATGAGTTGGGGGAGGGACATAGGGGGAGAATAATGAAAGAGATATCTTGATAGAGGGGTCCTGCATGCAGACCTGGGTGAAGAGGACATGGGCAGGTGCCCTGGAGCTTAGTTCCCACACATGGTCACCTCCCAGGTCAGAGAAGCTGCAGGCTGGGACCCAGGAGGGAGAGGACCAGTGGTGTGAGCAGTTTCTCTGGTGTTCATCAGGAAACTGGCTCTGAAATTCTGCTGTGGATGTCTTCCCGTGATGTATTTTAGATCCTATGGAATAAGCCTGGTGTTTTCAATTGATCTTCTGATTGCCAAAATATTCTTGTAAAAATAATCTAATAGAAATGACCTAATTTGAGTTTATCTGAAGATTTGTAAACATGATTCTCCTTGCTATGGTGGAAACGACAAGCTCTTGAAATTGACAATGATCCATACTAATTTCCATGCTGTATTCTTCCATATCCAAGAGA